ATTAAGATATTTTATTATATGTTTTATTGTTTTAATCTAAAATGATTGTGTCCCTCTTTAGAAAGTCTGAAATAAATACAAACAAACTGAGCAGTCTTATGAAGAGGCATGATTGATTTATATTGTGAACAGATTCATTCACATATAAACATGAATCGTCAAATAATATTTACAGCTTTCAAACTTAGCTCACTGTAACCCAATGTGATTCATGTTTTGTGAATAAAAGCTAAAATAAAACCAGTTCATCGCATTATGCCATCTCCTCTCTAGACTTGGAAAAAGTGTATTTGTTCATTTCTTTAAAATAGTTTTAAAGCTTCAATTGCTATGTTTCCATACAGTAAATTGAATTCATGTGCAAAACTGAGATATCCCATGAAAGACACGAGTAAAGTAACTTTCCATTCAATCAGTCTTAAATCGCCACTTCCTGATTAACTGGTGCCAAATATCAAAAGTAACAACTGCTGGTAGGAGAAATTGCTTGGATCTTCTCTTTATTTAATAAATTATTTACCTGAAAATGCTAAGAAAATGCCGACAAACAATAAACGCATGGTGGCGTTTGAAGGCGTGAGACATGGAGCACATTCGCTCATGACAGGTCTGGAAGTAATTAAAAATATAATAACACTAATATTAAAATTGTTAAGGCATTTTAGAATGACCAAAACAACATTTCAGATGTTTTAAAGTGTGTTCAGCCTGCTGGTTTGTCCATTCACACACATTTTTATCATCACGTAAGTAGGCTAAAACATGACACAAAACATGATTTCAGTAAAAGTGTTTCCATCATAGTTTATGCACATTTTTCCTTTTCAAATAAATAGTTTATCCAAATCAGTTATGTGCATAAGTTTTTTGTGCACATTTTCAACATTTATGTCCATCAACCATGTGCATATCCAAAATGTGCATGAAAATAGGTGGATGAAAAATGTTTTGATTGAACAAGTTTTAAAAGAAGGTACAGGACTTTCTTAAATTTCATTAAAATATTTGAGTTTTAGAGATTACGAGAAGTCTTAAAGGGATAGTTCATCCAAAAATAAAAAATCCTTTACCATTTACTTACACTCAAGTTATGACTGTTTTGCCTTACTCCACTTAAGCACAAAACAAGATATTCTGAAGATTGTTGGAAAAACAAAACACCTACTGACTAAAATATATTGTTTTCTAAAATATACTATAGATGTCAATGGCTCGTTCGCCCAGCATTCTTCAGTATATTTTCCATTGTGCTCAGTTGAAGAAAGGAACAAGTCGAGAATCATTTAATGATGACAGAATTTTTATTTTTGGTGAACTGTCCCTTTAAGGGTTTAAAACAACCTGAGGGTAAACAAACGATAACAGAATTTTCATTTTGGCCTGAACTAATCCTGTCATTTTCTCTTATCCAGTATAACAATTATACAGTAGAAAACACACTGATCACTAGAACAATTTTCACTATTAGTCTTGAAGTCCAGAACAATTTTCGTCTTACAATATGTCACTAAAAAAAGAACAACTTAGCATTGATTTGACAGCAGTTACTGTTAAGTCTTGTACACTGTAAATAATGTTTAGTTCCATATAACCGATTAGTGTTGGGACAACGTGAAGGAAGTTAGTGTATGAATATGAATATGAATATGAGTATGAAACAAAGTTAATGAATAAGATTGATCATTAAACAAATATGTTGACCCAGACAAAACTCAAGAATTGTGTTGATTCATCTCATTTTAAATAAGCAGTTTGAACAAACAGCAGTCATTTTTGGAGTGTACAGTATGATCCTGGTTATGTAGTGAGACTGGGGGCTGGTCTGTCTGATGTGAATTAGGTCAAGGCTGTTTTCTGCACTGCAAACCAGGGCTGTTTGACTGAGTCCTCCATGTGCATTAACCAGGACTCAAACAGATATGAACCAACTTGTCCACTGACACTCCCTTATCATTAACTACTAAAGCTTCTCATTTACAAAAAGTAGTTGAATCTAATTTAGTTTTTTTTGTGAGTGTGTGACCTCAAGGAGAGCACATGGCATTGGGATAAATAAATGTGGGTTTATTGTAAACTTAAAGCAATACTACATGATTCACTGTAATGAAATTCTTCAAGGGAACACTTGGAGTTACACTATGTTCTTTAAGTGTTTCCTATATATATTTTTTAGAATATATTTATATAATTAAGTATACATCATATATACACTTACATGCAGTGTTATACAGTGTATACTGTACATCACATACAAGTAAGTCATTTATAAAAATTTTACTGCATATATCAAATCCAATAATTTAGCAATGTTACTATAACGTGGTTTGATTTTACTTAAAAATTAATTTATTAGCTAATGGGAATTTTATATCGTAATATTTATTATTATTATTATTATTAATATTATTATATATAACATAATTGACATAATTATATAACTACAACTAGTTTGCTATTACATAGAAATATTACCTTTTTACATTCATTTAACACTTACCTGAGAGAGTAAACTGGATTAGCAGCTGAAAAGACAAATGTATTATTGAAATTATAAAGTTTATTTATAGTAAATTGTATATTTAATATAAATATAAAGTAAAAATAAATTGTATATTTATAGTAAAGAGTCTTACCTTTCAGTAAAGTGCAGCAACACTAACTCTCATAAAATACTTGTAGAGCTGATGTAGTGAAAAACAAAGAGTTCCAAAACAGGCAGCCAGTCTGTGGAGTGACCATGTGCTTATCCTTGTCAGCAGCACAGTGATGCCTTCTTGGTGCGAGTGTGCGTGTGTGTATGAGTGTGTGTTTGTGTGTGAGTAAGAAATAGGAAGCGAAAAGAATGGAATAAATGCAACAATGACTGCTGTGCCATTTAAGGACAAAGCATGATTAAAACGAGAACCATAAAAGTAATGAAATAAAAATACCTTAATGATTAGAGTAGGATATGATGATGCTTTGGATGAGAGACGGCAAGCTAAAAGAAGCATGGAGGCTTGTCTGTCTGGAAACAGTCTCTCAGACAGACTTGACAGCCCCCCCCCCTCCCCCCACGCCCATTGCCCCCCAAACTGCTAGCTTTGAAAACACCCCTACACCCAGCAAACAACCCTCCTCTTGTTCTAGACACATCAGTTCAGCCACGAGTACTCTGTATCATGGCCTGTACAAGGGGAATTACATATTCTCATGTTGTGCTTTTACTAGTGTTAACAAAAGCTGGGTGTGTTTTGTCTCACAGTCTGTTGTGAGGAGGCAGTGGGATTTTTTTATTTTTTTATTTTTATTTTTTGGTCTGTCGTCTCATGACCCAGTGCATGTGAGGTAAATGTGGGTGTGGGTGCCCTCTAAAGGCAACTGCTGTCATTAGCAGAATGCTACTCATGTGGTCTTTTTTGTGGTGTGTCATCTTTATTATTTCTAATATAATCATTGTGACATGCTGATGGCCTTTCTGATGGTCTTTGATGATTGTTTATTTGGGGGGCACAGGGTTTGCATGATAAAATCTAACATTAGAGGGACTGGGAAGCCAAGACTGAAAATCATAATTCCAAATCAGCTTTTACAACATGAAAAACTAAAGAAAATTGAGGGCAGGACTGCAGGTGTTTCCCATTCAAATATAACATTTAAAAACAAATACAAGTATTACAAATTGTTTTTATATTTACAGTATATAAAACTGCCTTACGGCTAGGGTCAGACAGAATCTGTGGACATTTTTTGCTATTTCTGCTGAGAATTTTGTAAAAAAAATCTGCGTATTTGTGCGGAATGATTTGGGAAGTATCGTGACTAAAAACTTATTATATGTAATAAAAATAATAGCTTTTTAAATTTTCTTTAATGTTTACAATGCAAATCCATCTAGATCAGGGGTGCTCAATCCTGTTCCTGGAGATCTACCTTCCTGCAGATTTCAGTTGCTACCCATATCAAACACTAACTAAGTAAACTAAGTTCATTATGTTGACTTCTCAGACATTTGCTGCATCAGCAATGTTATTAATATTTCTGATAGTGATATCTCTCATTGTAAAAAAAAAAAAAAAAAAAATGGGTTCCTTACAATTCCTTCATATCAACCCCAAAATTACTACACAACAACGAGTTTGTTCAAATAATTTCTGTGCAACAGGGCTCATGACCTTCCATAGTTTATGACTGTATAAAGTTTCTTAAAATGCATAAAACAGTCATTGAGAGGGTGAATTAGAAAAGAAATCACAATATTTAGTTTGTTGGTTAATCTTTTTTTATCTTTTAATACAAACGTGTTTAAACGTATAGTTTGGTTCTCTTGGATGATTTGCTGCATTTAATCCTAGTTCACTCAGCATTCACATTGTCACTATTAAAACCAATCCTAAGATGGTGGCTTTTAAGATATATAACATAGCAAAGACCTATAAAAACAATCATTGCATAAGCATCTCATGATAATATGTAAAACATCTAAGAACACATATAGAGATTTAAAAATGTGTATAGAAGTCAAAACAGTGCCAGGATTTTCTCTCACATTCATACAAATCAAGATCTGATGCAGGGAGATGTGCTTCTTACATCTGTTTTGAACTGTAATAGCTGTTCTGTCTTTTTTATGATCACATCTTTTGATATCGAGGCGAGGCAGTGGTGCAGTGGGTAGCATGTTCGCCTCACAGCAAGAAGGTCGCTGGGTCACTGGTTCGAACCTCGGCTCAGTTGGCATTTCTGTGTGGAGTTTGCATGTTCTCCCTGCCTTCGCGTAGGTTTCCTCCAGGTGCTCAGGTTTCCCCCACAGTCCAAAGACATGCGGTACAGGTGAATTGGGTAGGCTAAATTGTCGGTAGTGAATGTATGTGTGTTTCCCAGAGATGGGTTGCAGCTGGAAGGGCATCCGCTGTGTAAAAAAACTAGCTGGATAAGTTGGCAGTTTATTCTGCTGTGGCGACCCCGGATTAATAAAGGGACTAAGCCGACAAGAAAATGAATGAATGAATCTTTTGATATCATGTTGTGTTTTAATTTGTTTAGATGTGTGGGGTTTGTACTATGCACATATCTCAGTCAAGCTACACCAGAGTTCATTTGGAAGTAGACCAAGACCCTGTTTTTTATAGTCTCAGTCTGGTGCACACCGAGGTTCGGATGGCAGTGTTTGCACTTAATATGAACCACAGCAACAGACCAATCATACAAGAGTTTGCTAGGATTGAACCAAACTTACTACAATATGTGTGAAGGCACATTTAATTCATCTTAAGGTCTCACGGGTGTAAAATTAACTGAACTATAAAATGCAAAGTTCAGTTAATTCCTAAATTACATTATCTATTAAAAAGTTGCATAATTCCCTGTTGTTTTCTATTTAATGCCAGCCATCAAATGAAACCACCAGTTAGCTTGCACAGTCCAACCTTTGTGTTCACAAAGTGCAATCTGCTGCAGGAGATGATTTCTTGCCTCCTCCTCGCTCTGATCTTGTTGCAGTGCCGTCCGCAGGTAAAGCATGTCTTGAGACATGCTGAGCTCAGGGATTCCGGTCAGGAGCATTAGAGAGAAGAGCGTCACAAGAAGCCGAGACTGAGCTCGGAGGGACAGATAGGCATTTATGCATGTGTCCTAGAGAAACAACACATACTTCAGCTCAGAGTAAGGCTCTAGCACTTTACTTGTTTAAATTTAATCTAGACAGAGCAGGGTCATGTTTTTTAAAGCTTAAAAGAATAGTTCACCCAAAAATCTAAATACATTTACTCACCCTTCACTTGTTCAAAACCTGAGTTTCTCCTGTTGAACACAAAAAAAATGCTGGTTGATAGCAACCATTCAGACAATGGGTACCATAAACCAGCATCATTCTTTTGTGTTTAACAGAAGAAGGAAAATCAAGTGTGAGTAAATGAGGATGGATTTTTTTTTTCATTATTGGGTGAACTGTCCCTTTATAAAAATGGGCTGAAAAAAATAGATGCCATATTTCTATGTTAGTTGAAAGTAATGTTATTTTAGTGTTTTAATCTGTTATATTATTTATTATTTTATTGAATTTTATTTTTACAGTTTCAGTTTTTCATTTTAAGTTTTAGTAATTTTGTGTGCCAATGTATTATTTTTTGTTTTGTGCACTTTTTCTTACTTATTATTTTTTCAAGTTAATTTAGTTTTATACCATTTTTAGTCATTTTATTTTTTTTCATCAAACAGGCAAAATGTATTTAAAAACACTCATTCTTTGCAGTTTCTAGAAGGAAGCATACGCACCACTAGGGGTACATCTACCACAATTTAAGAACCACTTGTCTAAAGAGAATCAACAGTAGCAACAATAGTTGTTATAAAACGCACATACAAAATAGGAAAAACTTGTGGAGAAAAATACCCTAAATCTCTGGAAGTAGAGACTGGGACGGCCTTTCACCCTGCCCATAACATACAGGAAATCAGGGGTGAGGACAAATGGCACCCTTTCTCTGTTCACTCCCCAAAAGCTCTTAGTGTTTCCCAAGATGTGCCCAAAATCAATGTGGAACAAGTTTCCTGAGAAGAACAGAGAACTTAACATTAGGCAGATTCCCTGTGGACACATTCATTAGTAAAATACTGGCACATAAGCTTAAAGCCATGTTTTATATTCCTGAAACATGTCCTAATATCTACCCATGATTCTTTTAACATTGTGTGTGTTTAACATTATGCATTCATAATCTGTACATTATCATAGCTGAATTTTATAATCAAGTTAAAATGAGTCAGTTTCTTGTAAAATGTTCATCTATGATGGCTTTACTCAAACTGAGTTCTTTACCTTGATCTGTGATCATGATGTTGTCATTGTGACGGTCACCAATGCCCAGCACATACGTGGCAACACAGTACCCGGCACATGAGTTCACAAACTTCTCTGTAGCTTGAAAGTGCTGTTGTAACAAATTCAAAAAGGAGTAAGAAGATAACAATCAGATTTATGCAGATTTAAGAGGTGTATATTTAGAATATCTGCTCACTTTTTCCTGGAATGGGCACTTCGTCTGAAGCCAGTCATACAGGGCATTGTTTTTAAAAGCTCCCGCCACTCCACCCTGACTCCTCTGAACTGAGGCAATAGTGATTGCATTTCGCACAATTTCAATCATTCCTGTGTCAAAGACAGTTATACAGCTGATTGTTAAGACAAAATATTAAGACAATTATGCAGCCAATCACAATACAGTATCTCAGAGTGATGTATCATCATAATAAATGTATGATATGTTTACATTTTTACACACATTGTTTATTTTTTACCAGCATCAGTCTTGATAGTTTGTTTACATAATGCTTTCATTGTTTTTTTTTTATAAGGCAGAAAAAAATTAATTTTATTATTAATAATCACAATCAGTGATCTGAAACAACATTAATTTTCATGCATTATGGTAATTTTCTCTCTTTATAAAAGCAGGAATCCCTTGAATAACCAAACAAAATGTTCGGTATTCGCATGAAAAAGTAACCAAACCAACATACCCACATAATTATTTAAAATCATATTAAAATATTTTTATTTATCTGTGGTGATTTCTGAAAAAGAAGGGAATAGCCTAAAGGAAATTGAAGAGAGTCTATTACATTTATTTGGCATGTAGCATTCAAAAGCAGATAATGGGAAACGCTCCACAGGCCAAACCTTTCCAACAACATGGAAGCTTAATAACAAACTATGAATGCATTTTGTCTTAAATGTCTCTGGGGTGAAATAATGCAGTTTTAATTGTGACATTTTCGTCTTGATAGGCAATGTTTTGTAACTGGTAAAAAAAGAATTATAAAAGGATAATAAGTGTAAAATATATACAATATATTCATTTTATCCAAATTAACAGTAACACAGACAAAATGATTTAAAAAATTAAAATGAAACAGACAAAAATAACTAAAATGATGCTCTGGGGTTAGTTGCTCATACTGCAGTACATAAGAGAAAGACTGATCTTACCTATGTTAAATCCAGTTGAAATGCATCCATAGGGCACCAGATTCAAGTCTAAACCTTTTTCTTGCCAAATGGAGTCCATAACCACGAGAGTCTAAAACATGAAAAACATTTTAGTTAGTAATTAACCTTGTTTTTAGCCACTATTGCTAATTAGTCTGTGGTGAACATGAATTTTAAACAGTTGCTAATAAACCTGAATGATGAGCATGTCCTGTCGGAGGTCATCTCCATGTTTAAAGATGATGCCGACTGGAGGAGAGGGTGGAGCTTCTGACTGAATGCAGGAGAACTCCAGCCAGAGTGGCTTTTTCTTTGATGCCATTATCTTACAGTCTTTTAGCTGTGTGAACAACAGAATGTTTCTTATGAATAATGTTTTATCCATGCAAGAAAAGTGATTGGGGATTAATGGGGTCCAAAGCAACAGTGGACATGCCAGACTGTGGACAAGATATTGTTTTTAAGGATAAGTTTAGTTTGGATGAGTTTAGGGTGGGAACAGGTTGCTGTTAGATTGTGGACTTATCAAACTTCCAACAAAGAAAAAGGTTGAAAAGTTTGCCATATCAATTGAGGCGTATTCTGGTTTCTAGCAATTAGTAAAGATGATTAACCTACTATGATACTTCCTGCTCTGACACGGGGATCAAAAGGCACCTGGAAGTCAGAGGGTAAATCACACTTCTCCAGTAACTCCTGCAGCTTCTGAGGAGCTGAAACGCACATACATGATAGTGCGAATAACATAAGTAGTATAAACAGTAACCTGTTTGATCTTTACCTGTTGATGGAAGATCTGTCCTATCTGGGTAGAGCAACTTTACTGCAAGAGCAACGTCATGCAGGTAACTGACAACTTGCACTTGACTCTGGAATTCAGCCAACATTGCCTCTCCACAGCCCAATAGGTATGCCTCCAGTATCACTGCCATACGCTGGCGGAAAAACGGGCATCCTGCCACCTCACTTCGCAAATACCAAAAGAAGAAGTGTCCAATGCGTTTACTCTGTTCCAGGAAAATGGAATCAGCAAATGCAGTTAACCTTTACTTCTTGACAGCTGGTATGATGCAGGTATATAATTTAGTCAAAATTATAGAGATTAAAAAATTCCCTCTAATGAGAACAGCAGGAAACAGGACTTACCCTTAGTGCTCTTTTTAGCAGGAATCTTGCCAGAAAGCTATCGTGATATGGCTCGACTTTAAGGGTCTACAGAAAATAATATCCTTTATTGGATTTTGATTGATGTTCAATGAACATGCTATCTGGAATGTCACTACTTTGAAACTGGAGCTATTTAATATGTCATTTATGGAACATTATATTTTTTTACCTGAACCAGCTGAAGCAGATACTTAAGCACCTCGTCATTGGATAAAATCTCTAATCTTTGAACTGCCAATCTTCTGACCTTCAGGTCCGCAAAATCCACACTCAGAAGCTCAAGGGCCACAAAAAGCTCAATGTCCTCTGGCCCCCAGTGACTCAAAAGCCAGTGCACCTCCTGGACCACAGTTGGAAGCATCCAGTTGACTGTGCGAAGAAACTGAGGTAAATTTGAGACATAGTGGACACTTTCTTCTTTGAACTTTTTTAGGTTCCTCATTCTTGTTAAGGTTGCTGTTGAAGAAGCCTCACTGAATGGGGCGGAGAGTCTGGATTCCCCTGCAAGGTCCAGTGAAGAAGACTCTGAAACAGGAGATGTACCACTACAAGAGGAGCTCCTGCCATTAGGCAAGACAACAGGAAAGCTGTAGCGATCCAGCATGAAGGTAATCGCCATTGAGTTGGCTACATCAGGGTTGGTGGCAGTAGACAGCTTGTCTGCTTCATAAGTGACTGCCTCCTCATCCCATTCTGGGAAAGGCCACATGTTCAGAGTGTGTGGACCTTGGCTAAGAAGCGATCTGTGATCAATCAATTGGAGATTTACGAAGTATAGTACCTGCAATTTTCCCTTATGGTGATCTGGTACCTTAGAGGAGCTTGACTTTGTTTCCTTAGCTGCCTCTGTGGCATTAATTGTGAGACCTAGTTTTGCACCTTGAGGGATATCCCTGATCAAAATGTCAAACTCCAGCCAGGTGTTCCACAGAACTTCATCTGTAAACTCTTTCGGAGTTGAGCAAATTGAAGATATGGTCTTTTTACCATAGATTATTGTTGCCTCTACGTAAACAAGTGATGGTACCTTACTTGGGAGATCTGGGATATCAAATCCCAGGAGTTTAACCCTGAACTTTCTCTCGCAGTCCCACAGAGAAATCAGCACAATGTCCTCTACTTCCTTTTTTTTAAGGCAGAGCTCCTCATGGGAGCTTGAGAGACCAGTAAGACTGTCCACTAGTGGCCAGTACTCTGTACTCACTGTGTCATCTGGAAGAGATGAGATGGCAACTACTGAGAGATGAAGCTCCAGTGAGTTTTTGAGGCAGTGTCTGACCCACAGGTAGTTTGAGAGCTGGAAGTCTCCACTCAGAAATTCCTCCCTGCCACACACCTTGAGGACATGATCACTGGTCCAGCTTTCAATTGGTAGGCTCCCCTTTGGCAATGATTCCCAAAAGATCTTGAGGATATCACTGGGTTTTTGAGTCAAATCAGCTTTAATCGAAAGATTTGAACCATTATAATAAAGAGTCACTGAAAGTGTCCGCTGAAAGTAGCCTTGCTGATCATTTGGGAGCACGATGGAAGTTGTCCAGGGTTCAGTGGCATAAGCTATTAGATCTCGTTTTTTCAGTTCTTGGGTTCGTGGCGTGGCAAACTTTCTTCGAGTATAGGCAAGCTCACCTAAACGATTAGCATTTGAAGAGTCTAAATCATACCCAATTAGTTCATTCAAAACATGCTGGAAATAAACTCTCTCCTCTGAGGCAGATTTCTGAGCCAGCACAGTAACAAAGACAGTCTGAAGACCATCAGTACCCTGAAACCAGGGTGCATCAAGAGTTTGCAATACCTGAAAGTCGTCATAAATTTCATACCACTCTTCCTCCTTGTGGTACAGCAGACTGTATCGTTCTGGGTCCAGAAGTGCAAATGGTTCAGATATTCGGTTATTCTCCTGTGCTAGCATACAAAGTCGCACTCGAAGCTGATGTACGCTGCATTGTCCTGGGAGTTTGATCTGTAAGGGCTCCCTGCTGTCCACTGACTGAAAACCTTCTCTGGCTGGTAACTTGCAAATGAATACAAGGTTGTTATCTGAGCAAGGCTCCGGTTGTATATCCCGCACACCTTCCCAGCTGTTCTCCATGGATGCTAGAAAGCAAACAAGTTAGCATGTGCTCATTTAAGGTCAACCAGTCTTTTCAAAACAGGCAGTCTTTTTTGTAGATCAGACATAATTGGTTATATTAACTGACATATTTGGAGTCTAGGTGAAGATGCCCCCTTTTTAGTCATTTATTATTCTGGTGGTGATTAAACGAGGCAATTATCCTCAATAATACTAAACTGAATAAATGCCAGAGAAGTTGTTTAGTTTATTTTTAGCGTGTTGCAGTGCAGTTGCTAGGATGTTGAGCCAAAGTAAATGTGGCCAAAATAAATTGAAATCAAACGGAGTAAGTCCTCTAATTTCGTCACATTTCAGCGTTTTTAAATAAAATATGTAAACACTGTGTGTGTGCGTGCGTGCGTGCGTGCGTGCGTGCGTGTGTGTGTGTGTGTCTGTGTGTGTGTTTAGTTCTGTTTTCATGTGTCACTCCCTACCTCCTTACACTGAAAAAAGTGTTGCATGCAGAACTGTCGCAAACAATTTATTTGTGATTTTAAACAATCAAATTAAATTAAATAATATTCAACTTAATTTGTTTGTTTAAATTCAACACAATTAAATTGCTTACAACCACTTAACATACAAAAATTGAGTAAATCCAAGGAATCATCTTTGATTAATTTTTTTCAGTGTAGTTTACCCTTATTGTCTTGTTAGTCATTCATTAATTGTCTCCACCTTCTCATCAGTAAATTAATTGTTTCCTCATGTACTTACACCCTGTTCTGTTCGTCCCTTTTAGTCAATAGTGATTTTTAGCTATCCTCGTAATGTGCCTGTTTTTGTTTTTGTTTTTTAGCTTGTTTTTGTTTATTATATTTGTGCTTCACTCTATTTCTTGCATATATCTATACATGTTAACAAATTCCCTGGACTTCATCGGCATTCTCTTTGCTCCATTCATGAGTTTCATTCATTCATAAACACTAATTGTAACATGTAAGATTTCAGGGATGTAGATACAAATATAAGTGCTGCTTCCTCCTCATATTTCCCTTGTTTGTGAGGCTGTAGTGCAATTTGTTTTTAAGAAAGGAAAGCTGATTTTTAGTTGTCTGTAAATTGTCAAGCCTTTATTTATTTATTTATTTATTTATTTATTTATTTATTTATTTACTTACTTATTGATTTGCATATATACAGTATTTAATGAGGTTTACAAGTAATGCATGTCAATTGTGATGTACAGCAGCATTGTCACGCTATTATTCTTGCACCAGTTAAAGGAAAATATTTAACACTGGCAACTGTTCTAAAATAAATACAGTTTGGCAACACACAAACTGGTTCTGCCAGTCATTCTAGGCAGAAGAATGCATCAAAACCAAAATAAGCTTTAGTCTTCAGTGCTATACTACATGTTCCTTACATTAAAGTTATACATCATATAACAACTCATTTTCAATACCAGCTGAAATTCTACAAGTTTTTGCATAATTTGAAGTGCACTTACCTATTCAGGCTGTCTGTCTTTGGTTTTAGGTAGGTTTCTGTGGCTTGTGTGCGAGCTATAGTTCAATTCCCTTTACTGTAATACATCACAGAAGTGACTGTCTGCATAACAGCTCATCATTTCCTCATTCCTTTGTCTTTCTGCACCTGAGAGGAAGATTTTTTTTTTTTATCATTACAAACTTATTTGCTCGTAGTTTCATTTTATTTCAAATTCACTTGCTTGATCAAATACCATTTCTCTCCATACAAACTACAACTGTAGGAGACACGTTTGCTTTTTATTTTTATTTGTAATAACTTTTGTTTTAAATCTATTTTGTTGTAAAATGATAAAGGTGTTTATTGTATTTCTCTGAGTATGTGCCCTCTATAGGTGAGAGGAGAAATAAAGATTTATAAGGCAATGCCACCTGGGACAGCCCTGTGGCACAGTTTTTGATCATTTTGAGATTGGCATAGTGGAATCGGCATGGAAGCTGCCTTTAAGTTGTTAGTTTTTATGTAACTATTCACATCATTTTTGATTTAATAAATTTCAGTCGTTTTTTGAACATCAGCCAGTTTGTGTTGGAGCTCTTCAAGCATCTCTGCACCAGCACCTCCCACAGTGGCTAAGAAAAAATTTCAAAGTAAAAAAAAAATAACTTTAGGAAATTTTAATTGTTTTATTAATACAAAATCAATATTATTAATTATTACTTATAAATGCAGCCATGGTGAGCAGGAGAAGCTTATTTTAAAACATTTAAAAATCCTACTGACCCCAAACATTTGACCGATTGTGTATATTCGTTTTGGAGTTGACGCAGTGGCGCTGTAACTCGGGGTGTGACACTGACAACAAAGGTGAGGATCCACGTGCAGGTTTATTAGAATCGTCAGGCAAGCAGTGGTCAATACAGGGGAAAACAGATGTATGAGGGCAATCCAGAGCCAAAGTCAAATTAACAGGCAGATGGCCAGAGGCAGGCAGCAAACAGAATTAAACAAATAAACGAGGCAAAGAATCAAAAATACGGCAAAGGCAGACAAAGAAATCGCGTTGTAGTGTCACTGTAGCAGATAACAAGACTCAGCAACAGCGATTGTTCCTGTGCTGTTTATGTAGTGCAGTAATCAGTCCTTGGGCAGCTTCAGCTGTGGAAGTGTAATCAGTCAGGATCTGGAACATGTGTGTAAACAGAGTGCATGTATGGAGTTGTAGTCCATTAACTGGCGGAATTGTAGTTTGTACGAGTGTGAATGTTTTCCAGCGACCTCTGGTGGTTAGAGATCGCTGGTGATCATGACAGGCACAGTGGTTAGCACCATCACCTCACAACAAGAAGGTTGCTGGTTCAAGGCCCGGCTGAGCCAGTTGGTGTTTCTGTGTGCAGTTTTCACATTCTCCCCATGTTCATGTGGGTTTCCTCCGGGTGCTCTGGTTTCCCTCTATAGTCTAAAGACATAATAAATTGTGGTAAAGCGTATGTGTGAGATTGTGAGTGTATGGGTGTTTCCCAGTGCTGGGTTGCAGCTGGAAAGGCATCCGCTTCATAAAACGTATGCTGGATAAGTTGGTGGTTCATTTCACTGTGGCGACTCCTGATGAATAAAAGAACTTAGCTGAAGAAAAGTGAATGAATGAATGAATGAATAGTGTTGAAGAATTAATGGCTAAATTTGACCGGCCTGGTTACTCGTGCCAATGACAAAAATATTGGGCTGTGGACAAAGTGAAACATGTACTGTTCTCTGATGAGTCCACCATCACTATCTTTTCCACATCCGGTAGAGTTACAGTGTCGAGAAGCCCCAAAGAAGCAACCCAGACTGTTGTATGACCAGAGAAGCATGGGGGTGGATCAGTGATGGTTTGGGCTGCAATATCATGGCATTCCTTAGGTTCAGTACTTGTACTAGATGATCCCGTCTCTGCCAAGAACTACCAAACTATTCTGGAGGACCATGTGCACCCAATGGTTCAAACACTGTTTTGGAGGAGCGAGTCAGGAAACGTTTTTTTCCACCAGCATCACCTAGTGATCTGACCACTATTCAGCAAGAATTGCTCAAAATCTCTCTGGCCACTGTGCTGGACTTGTATCTGTCATTGGAAAGATGAACTGATGCTGTATTAGCCGCAGAAGGAGGCCCTACACTATGCTAATAAATTATTGTGGTCTAAAACCAGGCTTTTCAGTTTCATACTTCAATTCTTATATACTCTATTTACACAAAAACACAATTAACAGCGGTGCTTCAATAAAAAAAGTTTTTTTCAGTGACAAAAAAGTCATCTTTTTATTTGATTTTTATTTAACAGATATAAATGCAAAGCCTTTTGAGAGTCAAGGTCTCTCTTTTCACTCTTATATAAAGAGTTTCCTTTAGATTCAAGGCCTATGTTGTAAGTAAATATATAATACATTTACATTTGTTCCTTTAGCAGATGCTTTTATCCAAAGCAACTTGCAATTGAGAATAAAGAAGCACTTCAAATCACCAGAAGCACTTCAAATCAACCATGCTGGGAAAATATGCAAATTTTGAGGTTGTTGAGTACTGTGATATTTTTGTGATAGAACATTTCCCTAGAGAAAGGCTATTTAAATTTTTATTTTAAACAACGTAATGATAACAATAAAATAAACAGGTAATAGAAAGGGTGTAACCATTCAGACTTTAAACACTATGAATGACTGAAAACTTCAGTAGATATATTGATTCTTATTTACTGTTATTACCCGGCATAGGAGCACCTACTGGGGAGGCAGGTATGAAAATGGTAAAAACCAATTTGATTAAACAAAATTGGTTAAAGGGCCCCTATTAAGCAGTATAGAAGGTCATATTTTGGTTTTGGGGGTCTCCAACAATAGGCCAATATGCATGCAAGGTCTTTCTTTCAAAACACTTTCATTGTATTATAATTTTAACCTAATTATCCCGACTCTCATATGATTTGTTCAGCAATGCATTTTTTCCCAAACCCATCCATTGCATGACACTAATCTGATGACTTAGTCTGTTGTAATTGATCTACTGCATTCAGCGTACTACTAAAATAAACACCCAACAAGCAGCCAGCCATTGTGCAGAGTATGGGTGGATTTCATTTCCTATGCTCTAATCACTTTGGAGGGTCCCTATGAAGGGGTTAGAGAGGTTAGGGATGAGCTCTTTTAAATTTAGTGAAGTGTGTGACTCCAAACAGCTTTCCTGCTCAAATGATAATTTCCTAATGTGTCCATCTTTCATTTTAAAATGGGTGTAGAAGTGACCAGTTTTGATCTCTTCAGTTTGCAATGACACTTCAATATGGCGGTGATTTTGTTCACTCCAATGAGCCCTTCGGAGGGTGATATATCCCGTTTCAAAGTCCAACGCAAGAATGCATTAAAACAATATTGCTCCATTCTTATCACTGGTCCTTGTCTGTGTAAGAATAACTAATTGTGGTCATAGGAATGACAAACACCAAGGGATCCCAAACTCAGAAACCCATTTAAATCAGTAAAGGAAGCATGTATCACTTTCCACACAGTTTTAGATGCGTTATGTGAATTTCCCCCATAAAGAATAGTCTGAGACCAGTTTCAAGTTAGAACACACAATTAGATACATGTTTTGCAAGCTAGATAAAACAAGGAGACAACCATTTTAATCCCACTTACAGGTTGGAATGAAACCTGAAGAAACTGGTCCATATATGAACTGTGTACTGAGAAAGTCCCGGTTGAGGTCTGACGAAGTCCCATACATAATAGTCTTTTGGCTTGGCTTGGCTTGGCCTAAAGTTTGGCTTTGCTATACAGTGTTTTGAAAATTAACTTTACCCATTTATTCTGAAACCATCTCTAGCCATCTAGCCTCATCCTCATTTATGATCAATTCCATTTTCCACACTCCACTAGTGTTTGAAGGTAAGGGAGGGTTCAAGTTTAACCCAGTCCGGTGACTCATATGGCAATGTTTCATAATGGCATCAACAAAATACAGCAAAAGATTTTAGACCTACATGATTCATATAAATGACACTAAGTCATTAATTTTAAACATGGCAGATTTTTAGATTTAAACCTCAACTGGATGTTTTCATTCACTTAGAGCTGTGTTACACAATAAATGGAAGGTAATTTTCAAAAACCCATAATAGGGGCACTTTAGACAACCATGCATGCAATACATACCGACCTTGCCTATCACTATAACGTTGATCTATATATATATATATATATATATATATATGGTGACGGAGTGGTGCAGTAGGTAGTGTCGCTTCACAGCAAGAAGGTCGCTGGATTGTATCTTAGCTGGGTCAGTTGGCATTTCTGTGTGGAGTTTGCATGTTTTCTCCACGTTTGCATGGTTTTCCTCTCCAGTGCTCCGGTTCCCCCACAGTCCAAAGACTAGACTACTAGCGGTAGAGGTGAATTAGGTAGGCTAAATTGTCCATAGTGTATGAGTGTAAATGAGTGTGTATGGATGTATCTCAGAGATGGGTTGCAGCTGGAAAGGCATCCGCTGCGTAAAACATATGCTGGATAAGTTGGCAGTTCATTCCGCTGTGGCGACCCCAGATTAATAAAGGCACAACAAAGCCAAAAAGATGAATGTAGGTATGTATATATATATATATATATATATTGTTAAAGTCAAAATTAATAGCCCCCCTGTTTATTTTTTCCCCAATTTCTATTAAAGGGAGAGAAGACTTTTTCAACACATTTCTAAACATAATAGTTTTAATAACTCATTTCTAATAACTGATTTATTTTATCTTTGCCATGATGACAGTAAATAATATTTTACTAGATTTATTTTTAGACATTTCTATACATCTTAAAGTGACATTTAAAGGCTTAACTGGGTTTGTTAGGATAATCAAGCAGGTTAGGGTAATTAGGCAAGTTATTGAATAATGATGGTTTGTTCTGTAGACTATTGAAAATAATATAGCTTAAAGGGGCTTATAATTTTGTCCTTGAAATAGCATTTAAAAAATTGAAAACTGCTTATATTCTAGCCGAAATAAAACAAATAAGATTTTCTACAGAAGAAAAAATATTATTAGACATACTGTGAACATTTCCTTGCTCTGTTAAACATCATTTGGGATATATTTAAAAAACAAAACAAAAAAATCTAAGGAGGGCTAATAATTCTAAACTCGATTATGGATTATAGGTTATGCCACAGTTAAAGCATTCAAACAAAAAACTGATTTTTAGATTTGGATTATTATGTCGTTGCTAAGGTTTTTAGAGCCTTTTTTCATTCTCATGTGTCTCTCTCTTTTCTCTTTTTTCTCAATCTCATTTACGAAATTAACTCATGAATAGGCCTGCATGTGTTTAACAGCCTATTGAGTTACACGTTGCCTTGACACCAAATATAAGTAAAAATCTCTGGGTGGTGTATGAGAGTCTGCATAGAGCGTCTGCATAAGTAGCCTATTATCACAGAAGTCAATGGAGACGAGATGTCTGTGCTTTTGTGCAGTCATTAGTTTCAGTTTATTAACACCGCAAATGAAAATAATAGACATTTATGTGGAGACACCATAGCGTGTGCATTTTCTTTGCATAATCTTTCATAACAGGTATATAACACAGGTATGAAGTGCATATCAGTTGCTCATATTATCAAATATGTCAACATGCCTCACAGATGCATAATTCAAAATACAGCTTCTTCTTCACTAATATTTTGTTGCTTGAAAAAGGGTTTGTGATTAAGGGTAAGTGATTTCTGGCAAAGCGAGAAATTTTTTCACCCTTCTGTATATTTAGTATTGTGTTGTCTAAGAGTGAATATAAACATTGTCTAAAAACTTGATTGCAAAATGTACAAAATTACAAAATTGTAGTTGTTAAATTTAGACAAAATGTGCTTAGTTTAATAAATAAAAAATACATTTTACTCAAACAAATAACTAATAAACTCTTGTAAAACATATGTAATAATTCTTAACATTCTATTAACTTTTTTAAACAAATAACTCCCTTGTAACTTCACATCTTTTACAACTTTTAGGTACCAGCACATCTACATACTATACATAGATTGTAACACAATAAGTCACAATAAAATTATATTGATAACATTAATGCATAAACAGATAAATTTAAATAAATAATTATAATTCCAATTGCAATCAACATGATTAACTCATTCATCTGTTCATGTATACGTAAATATATATGTAACATTATATGTACATTGTGCCATTTTATATCTATATATCTATATACACACACACACACACACACACACACACACACACACACACACACAGTTTAAGTCAGAACTATTATTATTTCACCAATTTTTGTTTCAGAGAGAAAAGATTTCTTCAACAGATTTCTTAACATAATAATTTTAATAACTCATCTCTAATAACTGATTTATTTCATTTTTGCCATGATTACAGTACAGAATACTTTACTAGATATTTTTCAAGACACTTCTATACAGCTTAAAGTGACATTTAAAGGCTTAACTAGGTTAATTAGGTTAACTAGGCAGGTTAGGGTAATTAGGTAAGTTATTGTATAACGATGGTTTGTTCTATAGACTATCGAAAAAATAGCTTAAAGGGGCTAATAGTTTTGACCTTAAAATGGTTTCTGAAAAATTGAAAACTGCTTTTATTCTAGCCAAAATACAACGAATAAGACTTTCTCCAGAAGAAAAAATATTGTCAGACATACTGTGAATTTTTTTTTTTGCTCTGTTAAACATTGGGAAATATATATATTTATTTAATTCAAAGGGGGGCTAATAATTCTGACTTCCAACTATATATATTCATGAAATATCAGTCATATTTGAATTCCTGAGAGTGTCAGCGTGATGTCCTTTTATATTTTTCATAAGAGGTAATTAGTAAAAGTGTGATCACAATTGCATACAATAAATATTATTGTGATATAGTCATGTAAAAATGTGTTTGAAACTCAAACTTAAATCCTAACCAGTTATTTTACTTCTTTCTTAATTAAAAATATATGCTTGTTTGTCTGTAGTTTACGTTACTGTAGTTTAGTGTTAAAAGTGTTCATTAAAAAGAAAAAAAGATGGCGGTTACAGAACTCCTGTGCACAGATTGTTTACGATACCAGTGCGTTAATTACTTTAACATCAGTCAAAAATGGGTTTTCAAGAGTAATAAAGCATTGTTGCAATGATTAATAGAAAAATAATGCTATTATGCCGAGAGAGCTTGACATGTTACAATTTAAGAAAACAATTGGAATTACAAAAAATGCCAGTAAATTAAGAAAAGATCTCATCCACTTTGACAGCACACATGCTGCAAATCCTCACAAAGCAAAAACATTAAAAAAAACGTGCTGCATTTGCACACAATGCAAACAAATTAATAAAACGCACTGCATTTTTTTCACAACACAAACAATTTACAAAAACACACTGCATTTTCTCACAACACTTGCAAAAACATTGGTACACAATGGTAATGGGACCAAAAAACATGACAGGCACCCCTGTGCTGAGACTATTTATCAGTAAAGTTGTTGGTGATCTTTGAAATGTGATTTTTTTTTTTGTTTGTTTATTTTAGCATCCTGATTTCCTTGCCTTTTGTATTTTGCTTCCTATAAATACAGTAATCATATCCTAAACAGCCACGTCTGTCACATTTTAGGGTTGTCTTGAAACATTTCCATTGTGTTTCGAGCTATTTGAAAGTGTTGTAGGAAAATGCAGTACGCTTTATAAATTTGTTTGTGTTGTATAAAAATGCAGTACATTTTTTATGTGTTTGCATTGTGAGGGTTTGCAGCATGTGTGCTGTCAAATTGATGGTCTTTTCTTAATTTGCTGCCATTTTTTTGTAATGGTATATGTTTTTTATTTTTTTTAATGCAGCATGTTAAGCTCAGCCACTGTAAGTACCCACAGAATTGTCATTCTGTGTAGCAATGTCTTGTCAGGAAAAGACATAAAAGACTGCACAAGGATCAAAGTGTAACCAGCATACAGTACAAGCATACCAATTAATTGTCATTTTATATTCTCTCACACCACTAGGTTTTTGTCAGCAAGACCTTTTAATCATTTAAAAATATAATAAAACTTTTTATCACTTTCTATTTTATATAACACAGTAAGCACAGGTCAGAATGGGGTTGCATTTTTACATAAATGTATCTCTTGAAAAGATGATACACATTTTGTCATAAAGGGCAGTTTAAAGTACCTGAAATATACATTCTTTCCTTCCGAGAGTGTCCAATGACTAACGATAAAACATTATTTCTCAAATATTTTTTCTTAAGACCCCCTTTGTTCATATATTACTCAGAAATAGACACTAAAATCTCATCTTGGTCTCGACTTCTTTCATTAATTACATAACAGGATTTTTAAAATGATATAAAAACAAATATGTTCTATATGTAAACAATGACACATTCAAATGTCTGCAATTTGCTTTCATTGAAGTTTGCATTAAACAGAGACTGTGCAATCTTCTTGACTGCATTTTTCTCTGAACCTTGAGAGACAGGCATTGATTCTTTTTTTCTTTAGAATATTTCCAGGCGACTAAACCTTGAAAAGTTCAAAAGGTAAACTTAGTGTCGGTTCTCCCTCCTCCAGAACAGCAGCCTGGGCAGAGCCGCCCGCACCTCCTTGTTGCGCAGCCCGTAAATGAGTGGATTAACGCAGGGGGGAAACTGAAGCATCACAAGCAGCGTGATGTGGAGCGTCCCGGCAGAGCGCCAGCTTCCAGAATACATAGCCATGTTGCCTTCGAGCTCATATACAGCATCTGAGGCGATTTTTAAAAAGATGGGGAGCATCTGAACCAGCAGCATGGAGCAGTAAAACATTACGGTCGTGCGCGCTCTGTTGTTGACCTGATGGAAAGGCTGAACGGCGTTTTGCGCCTTCTGGTACATGCAAACGTACGAGAACGAGTAGGAACAAATGCAAAGCAGCGTCACAACAAGCCCAACAATCTTCCGAAACACCGCTGCAGCCCGAGGAAAGCCCAGGTGGGCCTCCAAAGTGTCCGGCTCACAAAGCAGTCCGGCTATAGGTTTGTCCAGCAGTGCGCTTTTGTGACCCAAACTGAGTAAAAATGTGATCATTGTGGAAAAGAACACCGACGTAAACCACGTGAAACCAACTATGCAGTAAAGTCGCTTTCTGGTTAGTATGCTAATATAATATATAGCCTGGCACACGTAGACGTAGCGCTCCAGGGCCATGCAGGTTATAGTAAGCACAGTGCAGAAAACGCAAACAGTGTTGATAAAGAACTGAAAGACGCACCAAAATCCATAGGGCAGCGTGGTCTTCTGGAGCAGGCAGTATGTGAGTGTTGGACCTTGGGTGACGATGAGGAGAACATCACTGACTATGAGGCTCTTCAGCAGGGCAAAGCGCGGCTGCCAGGACAAGTCTTCAGAACTGCCGATGCTGAACAAAGTGCACCCGTTGATCACGAGGGAGATGATGGTCATCAGTATGAAGACGCACAGCAGCGCCTGCACAGTTGTATCCGAGGGCAGGATGGATCTGAAGAGGCAGCGTCCCGGGTCCTGCGGCTGGAGGGGGTCTGAAGTGATGTTCAGGGCATCCTGGTTTGGAGGTGGACAGGTGCAGCCTACAGTCCATAGTATGTAGAATGGCAAATTGCGCGTGAAACGCATCTGGACGAGAACGAGCGCGTGTATGACTGGGAAATAGGGATTTGGGCGACTCGGTGGCTGATGTGCGCATTTGTTGCGCTTGCACGAGATGTGCTTCCAGACCAGAACAGATGCTTACAGGTGAGGCGAGGGGCTTGAATGGAGGTGGGGCTTTTTTCCAATCAAAGAGAGAGAGAACCCTTGGAAAAATAAATAAGTAACCAGTTAAAAGTAGTGGTTTTAGGTATACGCTTTACGGCGTTTTTTTTTTTTTTTTTTTTTCATATGGACAAAATATTACTGACATTATTTAAATGTGCATGCCTTTTCACGTTTAAAATATTAAAGCCGCATGTTTGCTAAATAAAATATATTCTTACATAAACATTTAAAATAATAAGAATAATAATTTTATTTGTTTTTAATAGACATTTGGTTATTGAACGTACAAATGCAACAGCAAGCTAATCTAGAAATGTTATTTTATAAATCAATAATTCAAACTTGCCGTTCTTCTTTTTTTATACAGTGGAATGCTAGCAACACTGTTGCCAGTTAGTCACTTTAAGATACTGAGATATTTAAAGAAATAGGCATATATATATATATATATATATATATATATATATATATGTGTGTGTGTGTGTGTGTGTGTGTGTGTGTGTGTGTGTGTGTGTGTGTGTGTGTGTGTGTGCAAAGCACAGGTGTCATATTGAATAACATCACATTACTGGGGACCGCAGCTCTGTACAGTTCAGGTTTGACCCCAATCATACATAACTGATCAAACTAGTTGGGTCCTTTGGGCTTATTTGAAACAGGTAATTGTGATAAGCAGGGTTGGAACTAAACTCTGCAGGGCTTCCCCATCTAGAGAAGGTCCATAACATGAGAAAATATTAAATACGTTTGGCTTAGTCCCTTTATTCATCAGGGGTCATCACAGTGGAATGAACCGCCAACTTATTTAGCATACGTTTTACACAGCGAATGCCCTTCCAGCTGCAGCTGCAAAAGATAAAATAAATTAGTATTTAAAAATAATATATATATATATATATATATATATATTTGTGTGTGTGTGTATGTATGTGTGTATATATATATATATATATATTTATATTGTTTTATAAGATTTTAGTGCACATTATTCAGCTTAAATTGCAATTTCATGGCTTAACTAAGTTAATTCCGTTACCAAGGTTAATTATGCCAGTCGATGGACAATAGTGGCTTATTTCGCAGCCAATCAGGGGAAAAAGTTCTTAAGTTTTTAATTTTGACTTTATTTTTATTTTATTATTATTATAAATATAAACTGATTTTATTACTCACTTGCTTTTCTTTGGCTTAGTCCCTGACTTATCAATCGTTGCAACAGATGAATGAGTGCCAATTACTCTGGCACGATTTTTTTATGTGGCAGATGCTCTTCCAGCCACATTGTCAATCAAGCTAAAAGAAGTAAGACTTTCCTTAGAAGAAACAAAATACTGACAACCACTGCTCTCATAAATATCACTTGTAAAATATGTGAAAAAGAATTCAAATTTCTAATAATTTGCCTTCAACTGTATGTAGTCTACTGTATATTTCTCATATATTAGTGTCAATAATAACATGTTATTTATACATACACTGGCATATGCATACTATTTGCACCTCAGGATTAACGCAATGCGATAACATGGCGTGTATATGATAATATTTATTAAAAGTATACTATTGACTTTAGCAAACACTCATTTGGGAATTCTACTTTTAGTTTTTACTTTATTTGCATTAAAAATACATTTTCATGTGACATGACATGGGTGAGTAAGAAAAGTGAGACGAGTAAGCACTGAAAAAACTGAACTCTAACCATTCAACCGTATTATTAGTTGTCATAGCTGATCATATTACTACTGAATACTGAATTTAACCTGGAATTAAATTTTAGGGTGGAAAATTGTACTTGGTATTTAAAATCCGCTATATCTGATGGCTTGCATAATTTTCTGCTAAAGAAATTACATCTTGATTTAAAGTTTTTTTTAAACACTTCTACTTGAAATATGTTAAACTACTTAATAAAAAAGCATTTGTGCAGTGTGCATGAATGATGAATGAATTATTTTAACATAGCTTGCACTTTAAAAGGGGAGAGGAGACAAAAGGTTTACTGAAGAAATACTGCTCCTGACCAGGGGTCTGTTTCAGAATGCAGGCTAAGGGAAAACTGTAAGTATGCTTACTGTGAAACACAGAGATTTCAGAAAGTTCCTTTAGCTCACCTCTTCCTTTTAAATGGGATTCTATGTTTAAACACTTCATTCATTCATGCACACAACAAAAATGCTTTTATTTTACATATTTTGTCATATTTCAAGTACAAATATTTTACAATTTTTATATCAAGATGTGTTTTCTTTATCAGAAAATTATATTAGACATTTAATATTTTTCCTCTAAATGCATTTTACTTAAGATTATCTGCTAGTATAGTTAAAATATTCTTAATGAAAATCAACAAATTTTCAGTAATTCTGCCCTCAAATTCCATAAAAGGTTGAATACAACATGGAGAACTAGCTTATAACATGATTAAATGGGTTCGAGTCCAACCTTTTTCACAAGCTTGCTCTTTTCCTATCTCATTACACAGTAGAATTTATTTTCAATAAAAATTAAGTAAATGTTCTAAAAGTGTAATAATGAGTGTTTGAAAAAGTACTTTGAATCAATAGAATGATACGCACACTATACATAATCCTTTGCATCAGAATGGGGAATAAAGGTGATTTAAGTGACTATGAACGTGGTATGGCTGTTAGTGCCAGATGGGCTGGTCTGCGTTTTTCAGAAACTGCTGATCTATTGGGATTTTTACGCACAACCATCTCTAGAATTTACAGAGAATGATCTGAAAAAGAGAAAATATTCAGTGTGGGGCAGTTCTGTATTGATGCCAGAGGACAAAGGAGAATGGCCAGACTAGTTCAAGCTAAACAGTATGAGTTCAAGCTCAACAGTAACTCAAATAACCACTTGCTACAACCGAGTTATGCAGAAGAGCGTCTCTGAACAAACAACACGTCAAACCTTGAGGCGAATGTGCTACAGCAGCAAAAGCAAACCACTCCTGTCAGCTAACACTGGGTAACTGAGGCTACAATTCACACAGGCTCACCAAAATTGGACAATTGAAGATTGGAAAAATGCTACCTGCTCTGATGAGTCTCGATTTCTGCTGCAACATTCAGATGGTAGAGTCAGAATTTGGCATCAGCAACATGAAAGCATGTATCCATTCTGCCTTGTATAAACGGTTCAGGCTGGTGGTGATGTAATAGTGTAGGGGATATTATCTTGGCACACTTTAGGACCATTTGTATCAATTGAGCATTGTGTCAACGCCACAGCCTGATAATTGTTGATGACCATGCCCATCCTTTCATGACCACATGACAGTGAGGTCACTGTACTCAAATGGCCTCCACACTCACCAGATCTTAATCCAATAGAACACCTTTGGGATGTGGTTGAACAGGAGAGTGGATGTGCAGCCAATAAATCTGCTGCAACTGCGTGATGCTATCATGTTAATATGGACCAAAATGTTTGAGAAATATTTCCAGTAACTTGTTGAATCTATGCCGCGAAGGGTTAAGGCAGTTCTGAAGGCAAAAGTGGGTCCAACCCGGTACTAGGAATGTGTACCTTATAAAGTGGCCGGTGAGTGTATCTGCCAGTTTATGTATAAATGGCATTGAAATATTATTTACACTTACAATTTTTTTTGTTAAACAGGTGAAAATAATCAAGCATACATTGCTATAGACAATAATAGCAACCAATTGCAATTTCTAATAATACCCCACCCCACCTACCACGGGCAAAAAATGAAAAATAATTAGACAAATAATAGAAAACAAATCAGCGGCAAAAACAAGAAAAAGAGATTCGTTTTTACAATACATAGACATTACTAAAATAAATAAAGACATTTACCTCTGCATTTAACTTTTTACAAGAACACTTTAACAAAGAAAGATACAGTGCATCCAGAAAGTATTAATAGCGCTTCACTTTTTTCACATTTTTTTATGTTACAGCCTTATTCCAAAATGCATTCATTTATTTCCTCAAAACTTTACACACAATACCCTATAATGACAACATGAAAAAAAATATTTATTTGAAATTGTTGCAAATTTATTAAAAATAAAAAAAACCTGAAAAACCCAACTCAATCTCACGGCAATTCGTAACTTTTTCATTTAGTGGCTAATTCGTATGAATTCGTACGATCTAATTCGTACAATTTAGTACGATTTGCTCATCCCCCAATGACGGTTGGGGTTAGGGGTGGGGTTAGGTGCCACGCCTCCTTTTTAAAATTGTACCATTTCGTACGACTGAACTCGTACGAATTCGTACGAATTAGCCACTAAACTGGCAAAACGTAAAATACTTACGTTTTCTCATGAGATCAGGCTGGAAAAACCACATGTACAGAAGTATCAGATTGAATGGGAAGTGACAGTGTATAGCCATTTTCAGATCTCTCCAGAGATGGTCAATAGGATTTAGGTCTGGGCTTTGGCTGGGCCACTCAAGGACATTCACTGAGTCATTGTGTAGCCACTCCATTGATATTTTGGTGGTGTGCTTTGGGTCATTGTCCTGCTGGAAGATGAACAGTGGCCCCCAGTCTGAGGTCAAGAACACTCTGAAGCAGGTTTTCATTCAGCATATCTCTGTACATTGCTGCCTTCATCTTTCCATCTATTATGATTAGTCTTCCAGTTCCTGCTGCTGAAAAACATCCTCACAGCGTGATGCTGCCACCACCATGCTGTACTGTAGGGATGGTATTAGCCTGGTGAGGGATGTAGGGATGGTATTAGCCTGGTGATGAGCGGTGCCTGGTTTTATCCAAATGTAATGCCTGGCATTCACTCCAAAGAGCTCAATTTTAGTCTCATCAGACCAAAGAATTTTATTTCCTATAGTCTGAAAGTCTACTTCATACAGGC